ATGATTTCTTGGTGATTTCTTGGTGACCGGGCCTTCTCTGATACCACATGATGCAAACTAGGAAGAAAGAAGAAAGAAACCTAAGAAGAGTTTAGCCCACTGAGCTAACTTGTTAATTAGATTCAAAGTTTATCCAATGAGCTATTTTCTTCATGAAGTGCTGATACATTGGAAGACAAAAACCTTCAAAAAATCCTAAAAACTTCTAGTGAAAATAGACACTGCATAGGAATTATGCAAAACTGAACACACAAGAAGAGTTAACCCAATGGGCTATCTTGTTAATTAGATTCAAAGTTTATCCGTGTATTTTCAAGTAACATAAGAGGCTTCTGATATATTCCCAAACTAAATCTAGATGCTTCGAATCACCAAGTTCCCATACATTGGAAGACCTAAAACGACCAAAAACTCTCAAAGCATCTAGTGAAAATAAGCACTACGTAGGACGTATGCAAACTGTACCCCCCCAATAAGGCTGATATTTTCTTACTAAGCTACCCCTTCTAAACCCTACTAAACTTTTGACAATCCTACCCCTAAAATGCGAGCACTAAAAAAAAAAAAGAAAAAAAAAGGGTTCTTTGTTAGGCTATCATACCCAATCAATTACAGCCCTCTTCCATGGTACTATTAACTTTTGCACTCCTCAATAGAATGTTATGGGTCTTTCTTCTCAACAAAAGAAAGGAAAGTGCAGGACCAGATGCATGGTTTTTGTGGTTGGGACCTTGTTAATCTGAATTGTCTTCGCCATAATGGCCTGATGAATTCTAGGACTGGGTGTGTGAAGAACTAAGTGGTCACACAACTTTGGGTGATCTTGACTGAGAGGATTTTGTGGTTGGGACCTTGTTAATCTGAATTGTCTTCGCCATAATGGCCTAATGAATTCTAGGACTGGGTGTGTGAAGAACTAAGTGGTCACACAACTTTGGGTGATCTTGACTGAGAGGAACGACATGATATTCAATGGAAAAAAGTCTACTACTTTTGCTCTAAGGACCGGGTAAAACACTGGTTATCTTTTGGGCAAAGAGCAATAATATGTTCAGGGATCACCCAAACTCAGCTTTTTTCCAAGATTTGCAGGCTTTGCTAAATCTAAGGCCTTGGCAAATCCCTTGCTCATTACTTTGGAGACAACTGGAACAAGGTGCTCCCTTGACAACCTGGGCACGGCAAGCATTGGGAGTATTTTAAAGACAAAGGTGATACTACCCTGCTGTCTTTCTCAAGGTCCATTGGTCATGCAGATTCCTTGAGGGAGGAGGCTCCCACCCTCCTTGAGAGCCTCAAAGGTTTTAACCTAGATTAGAGCCCTCTTTTGATTATTGAGGGGAATCCCAAGAACACCATTTTGTCGCCTTCAGGAGTCTCTCCTTCCCGGTGTAGGCATGAACACATTTTTTAAGAGATCTTTGATTTATGCAGTCCTATGCACATCTTTTGGCGACATGTGGCACAAGGCAAATTTGGAAGCTGATAGCCTCACTAAGGATGGAGCATTTGCGGGATCCACATCCAGGACCTTTTTTTGGGCACCTTATTGAGCTTTGGCCCCTGGATGTTTCTTTTCCTTTCCATTTTCTATGAAGGTTGCATAATATTATTTGGATGTGTTAATATTTTTGGGGAAAAAAAAGACCGTTATCATGCTTTATAAGAGCACCCAGTTTGTGGGCTGCCAGGCTCCTTTGCTTACGACAATTTTGAGCTTAATACAACAGTGAATTTTCTTAGAAAGAAAAAATTCATGTGAGCGTGGATGAAGAACTGTGGTCACTCTGTGAATTCTCTTTGACCTTAAGAACCCATTAAATATGCACTTGCTCCCTCAAAAGTCCACATGTTTAACTACATGCGTTAGCCCATGGATATTCATTTGGAATCAATAAATAAGCACAGAAAGAGTACTTAACAGTTTACAATCAAGACAAATATACCCTGTGCATGATAACTCATGATACGTGCATACAAATACTCAAATAGCCCTTAGGTATGAGTGAGAATCCGAATTTAGGTTATCAGTAACCAAATCTGGACCAAGGAAGGCAAGAACCCATATAAGTGTGTGTGCAGAATTGGAGATACCAGTGGTTTAAAAAACGGATCGGTGCCCCGGATCGTGCACTCCAAAACCCATCTGGATTGGTGAATCGGTGATCCGGATCGGGAATCGGCTGAATCGGTCGGATTTAACCTTAAAAAAAATCCAAAAAAAATATTAAAATCCATTATAAATGTTGTTTTTTAGGAATCCAATAAGAAATGGGGGTACTCCATTAAGAACTTTCTTTTTTTTGCATCAATATACGAATATTGAGATGTTCTTTCCCTGCATTAACTATTGTTAACCGTTAAATTTACATCACATAAAAGGATAAGCATTGAACTATCATGGATGAAGTATAAATCTCTAAAACTAATGTTATTTTAGTTTCTAAACGTAATTAGGAGTGATGCATTATGTACTTTCATTACTTTGTAAAAATAGGTGAATACTGATACATTTTTTTGTCTGGATGTCTGTAACATTATTAATTATAATATAGTATTAATATTATAAAAAATAATAGTTTCCCATATAAACTGAAATTAGAATCATATCAAAGTATTAAATATTTATTAATTCACTTTACTCATCCAAAATTATCACAACCCAACTAACTATAATATTATACAATGAAATTGAAATTGTTGCTTTATATTTTATAATTATTTTACTATACAAATAAGAATAAATTTAAAATGTCTTATAATATCATCTAATTTTAAAAATTTATTTACAACTATAAGAAAAATAATACATTATATAATTTATAATGTAAATAAAGTAATAAATAAAATACAAGATTTGGTTATTAATATATAATTATTAATTATACTATTATAGTAAACATGATTAAACATTATTAGAAAATGCTTCCATATCACATGATTAAAAATAAAAATAAAACCCCCAATAAATTCTAATGTGATGATATTAAAAAATTCAAAAAAAAAAAATCCTATCAACAACATGTGCAATAGTTACAAAAAAAATAAAAATAAAAATACATATGGAAATAAAATCTACCTAAAAAACCATTTTACATATAAATAGTAAAAACTTTTATATTGCAGTTTTTTAATTTGGAACTCTAATTAATTCATTTAATTAAAAAAATTATGCTGATGAGGCTCATTGAATACGACACGCTAATTTGGAAACATGATATGCTAAGATTTAGAAATTAATTGGCACGCTCCTTAATATTATTAAATTAATTGACATGCTTATTAATTCATTTTTATAATATGATTAGAAAAATAAATCCCCTTATGAATTTTAATATTATGACCCTAAAAAAAATTTACCCTGAAAATTGGAAAATAAAAATATTAAAATTCAAAAAATAAAAAAATAGCATGTTCATTCCCCTAAGTTGCCCCACTCTATTTATTGTTGTAAAAAAATAAAAAAAATTTGAAAAAGTGGCATATAGTAGAAAAGCAAGCTAGAGAGAGAAAACTATTTTGTAGCATATTATGTAGTTATTGGCAAACGTCCAATTTAATTCAAATTAAGAGGTAAAATTGATATTTTGGGGCTCTAAATAAGAAACGTGACTCAATAATTCTCCCTGCCATTCAAGTGGAAATTGTCCCACATCTAACAATTAGAGGATAAAATGGCCATATAAAGCCAAGAACTTTAGATTATGAGACTCATGGTGTGTGACGTGGGCAAATGGAAGAGGAGGGTACCAATGGTGTGTGACGTGTGCACAGAGATGTGACGTTTGCACAGCGATGGATACAGGGAAGAAGGTACCAATGGTGTATGACGTTGTGCACAGGGAAGTTGCAGCTTTTATTATAAATTAATGCTGAAAAATTCGGTTTTTATGGATCCCAATATATTTCGGGGAAGAAGGTACCAATGGTGTGTGACGTTGTGCATAGGGAAGTTACAGCTTTTATTATAAATTAATGCTGAAAAATCCGGTTTTTATGGATCCTGATATGTTTCGAGATCCAAATCGCTTTGGATGATTTCCGATCCAGATCGGGCGATTCCGATCCGGATCGGCGACTTTTCAAACACTGGCAAATAGTGATGCATTGGGGACTTGCCGAGGATGTAGACCTGAACGATCCACACTCCACAGTCCTCTAAACATTCCTCCATAAATGTCCTAGGTGCCAAACCGAAAGGACACTAGCCGATGCCTTTCACTGGTCTGCGTAGGTGAGAAGAGGGAACCTAGAGTAAAGTGTGGACTTGATCTACTAAATAGATATCGGTTTTTATGAAGGAAGATTACCAACCATAGGCATGGGAACAGAAGAAGATACAATCTTCCAGCAAATAATTATCTGGTTATGAAATTAATTTTTAGTAAAGAATTTGGTTGTCAGTTTGATTTGATATATTAATTGCATCAGTGTCCTAATGATAAAATCTCAATGATTTCTCGGACTAAAGTTCCATAAGCCCGTATACAATTGGAATGATTTTAAAGATGAAAATAACTTCAAAGACTTAGAGCTTGAGTGGGTTTGCCTCATAGCTTGCATGTTACAGGAACTGCAAAATTATGGTAATGGCTTGAACCATTGGCTTACCTATTCATGTATTGTCCTGCTTTATTTTCCCCTTTTTGATTCTTATTTTCCTTATTGAATCTATTCATGCCTGTTCATATGGGTAAGGTAATGCAGCCATGAAATACTTTTAGAATGCTTAGCTAGGGAAACATCTAGAATCTTAAGAAACTTCTGATTCTATGAGTATTGGAACATAGTGGGAGAGATGACTAGTAACAAAGGTTGTGTTTTCTCTTCCACCTGATGACTATGGTGCATATAGACTTATGCTACATTATACTTTAGATAGTACCTTTGTACCTACAGAAATTGAAGAGCATCGATTCAGTTCTCAGTTTTTCAGATTTGGACAAAGGCTTCCAATTTTTTTATCTTTTTGTTCTTAAAAGATTTCTCTTCTTGTACAGGTTGTTGGAGGAAATGGAGCTGAGCAGAATGTTGTAAGTGGATCCATGGAAGTCTTAAGACCCTGTTTGGCAGTCGCAACCTCTGGTGTCCCAGTTCGAGAACAACTCTTCAATGTTTCTATATGTCACAGGGGCCCATTCAACTTCTTTCACCATGGAGAGTTCTCACGAAGCTTTGGGCGATCTGCTGACACCGGTCCCTTAGAGGTTGCGGCACCAATTCTTATTCGCAGGGACGATGGCCATAGACACCGTAAAGGAAGTCATGGTGATGTTGTCTTTCTAACAAGTCGAGGAGAGGTAAGCAATGAATTATATGATATTCAAACAACCTCCTAACTTGAAAACATGGTCAATTGTCCCTATCACTTGTAAATAATTAGCTAATAGGATTTCCAACCAGCCTTCTATGCACATCTGCTTCATTTGTAGGCATCTGTAGCGCTTCTCTCTCTCTCTCTCTACCTACACACAGACAAATTTTTGTAGGTAAAAAACCATATACTTTCTTGTGTCGAATCCATTGAGATATGGTGATGATATTCATTGCATGACCAGGTGACATCTTACACCCCTGGCTTGCATGGCCATGATGCCACATGGAGATGGCAGCTCTTGACTGGTGCTTCGTGGTCCAACCTCCCATCACCATCTGGCATGATGGATGAGGCTAAGGTGGTGCCCACTTTAAAGACCTTTCCCCTCCGCACCCATGGAACCGAAGAAGTAATCCTTGTGGCTGGAGAACAAGAAGCCGTAGTCATATCCCCTGGTGGAAGCCAGTGGGCATCAATCGATCTCCCTTCACCACCCTCTCATGCGCTAGTTTTTTATGATTTCTCCAATGATGGCCTCACTGATATCATCCTTGTAAGCCCAAATGGAGTGTATGGGTTTGTTCAGACCCGGCAACCTGGGGCCCTCTTCTTTAGCACATTGGTGGGTTGCTTAATAGTGTTGATAGGCGTCTTCCTTGTTACTCAGCACCTGAATTCTCCCAAGGCAAAGCCCCGTGTGTCTTCTGACTACCGGTGAAGGTGAGTATTCCTCTTTTGGGATGTAAAGTTTTATCTTGTCTGGTCGGCTCTGGACCAAAGGTTGATGAATGGTAAAGTAACAAAATGCTAGTTAGCACTAGACCAAAGGTTGATGAATGGTCAAGTAAAGAATAGCTGAGGAAAAGTATGATGGTAAACTCTAGGTTAATGCTTGGAGTTGGAGAGACATAGCAGTTTTGGGACCTTCATTGCATAGATGACATCAGGTAGTATCATCATGGCTATGGCATTAAGATTGAGCGTATACAAATTGTAACTGTGTTGCTAATTTTATATAAACCATTTAAGGTTGCTATAGAGCAAATGTGAGCATGGGTGGCCCTTTTTACCTGTTATTTCATGGACTTTTTAAACGAGAAGCGTGCAATGGTTCGAAGATCTCATTCTTCATATTCTCTCATGCTTGGTTCTCATTTTATGCGATTGTTAAATGGTATCATTAGAATGTTAGGAGTGTTCTCTCAGTTGTCCCCCATAGTCATTGCAGTCAACTTTTGATTTTGCACCCTTAAGTCAGATTTTTTCATTATTCCTGATCAGAAACATTGACAGAGCATACATCTAAACAAATTTGGTATAAGGGACACTTATTACTGAGTTTCTTACCACTCACTTTATATGCGGGCCTGGTAATGCGGGACCCATCACAAGAACTTCTTAGGCGGTGCCCCTAGTTTTGTTCTTGGATGTGATCAGTGTCTTAGTTGTCAAACTGCACCAATGAATTCACTAAATTGATATACTGTCTTCTACCCTCTTCTATGCATTAGAATACGAGGAAAATGAAGGTCACAATCACACTTAGTTGTAAAAGGTGGAATCAAGCATAGGCAATGTGCTCCTATAAAGCCCAAAGACTAACAATACTTTTTGATACGAGTCTTAGCTTCCTGATTTGAAATCTGAAGGCTAGGTTTTAAAGAGACAAGAAGGCTACGACACTCCTCAAATGTACTGTTGGTAACATGCTTCAAATGTCTGAAATGTGATCTAGTGATAAGCTCAGTTTATATTGGCCAAATCAAATAATTTTCTGAATGGGCGCTCACTTGATTAGTTTTTTTATGTACTTAAAAGGTATATTCTTTTAGGGTTCATTTGCAGGTACTTGTTATTATTGATAATTCATTGTTTAAAACAAAAATAATACTAATAATAAATTACCTATTTTGGCAATGTTCATCATAAAGTTATCTATGTGAACTAATAGGTTGTTTTATATATGTTCATCATTTTGAAAAGTGGTTTTTATTTATTCAAAGTAATTTGTTGAAAATCACATGTTTTAATCAGAAATAACTAAAATTAGCTAGAAATCACTGACAAATCAAATAATTAAATAATATTGTTCATAATGCAAGGTATGTACTAAACAACTAACTTAAGGATATTATGCAAAGTACACTAATATCAAATAACATGGTATACTCGAGATTAAATCAGTTGTCATCCAAATAGACCTGTGATTCATCATCTCAACATCGAGATGTATGACTATGAAAATTAAAAAGATTTTGAGTCTCAGAAATAGTGCATCTTACAACATATTATCTATACCGTCCATTTTCAAGATTTTCATATGTTTATAGATTGATTTGATTTTAACTATTTTTGAAATTTAAAATTTTATAATTAGATATAAAATTAGATTTTGAGATAATCTCAAGAACATTTTACATTAAAATTATATATTATGATAAATTTTGAAGGTGCTCCATGGTGGGATTGTTTACACCGCACCTGATGGTTTTACATATTAGGTAAGTTGGCTTGGAGATGTCTTATCGATGGCTAATTGAAGGTGAAGGAAAACATTCAACAAGAGCATAGGAGTTTCGGACAGTGCCTTCTCATCAACCCTGCATTGGAATTTCAAAAAGTGATGAGTGGGATGTGTTTACTTTGAACAGCGAAACAGCACACCCCAGCCATCCGCTAATAACATTGGACTCTAGAGGCTTTATTTGGGATCAGTAACGGTTATTCAGCCTATAATAGATTTAAGGGTGCATAAAGTTGCCTCCTACTATAGAAGGTGTACCTTTAAATTTTTCGTAGAGGCATCAGATGGCTCTCTAGTTATAAAATTTAAAATTTAAAAAATAGTACAGATCGAGCATATTAATAAACATTTGAAAATCTTGAAAATGGACAATCTGGATAGCTTATTACGATATGCATTATTATTTGGACTTAGATTTTTTTTTTTTTATGTCCATATTTCTTGAGGTCAAGATGATTAATTAGAAGGTTCTTCAATATCAGACACTCTTATATAGGAATTTTCAGGTGCATGCTACTACAATAGTACAAGGTTGCCACCTTATATAAAAGTTTTCCTAACAAAGGCTTTATTCTGACCGTAATGATTTGCAGGCAGTCTAAAATATTAAGAAAAAGAGGTTGGCATCATTTTTTTTCAAAGAAAAAAATTTATATAGAACCAAAGCTTTAAACAATCAAATTAGAGCCCACGTAAATTTTTTTTACTAGAATAGGTTATTTTGATGCCAAATATCCTCGAATTGATCATCTCGACATCAAGATGCATGGACATGAGAAAAAAATGGATTTCTAGTTTTGGAAATAGTGCATCTTGTAACGCATTTTCGGACCATCAATTTTCAAGTTTTCATATATATATTCAATATACACTATTTTTTAAGCTTTAAATTTAATAATTAAAGACAAAACATATTTTAAGGCTATCACAAAGATTTTCAGTATTGAAACCATATTTCTCGACACTATTTGAAGGTGAGCTTTAGTTTTGTTGTTTAAAGCCTCGAATTTATGCTAACCGCACCCTTTTTCAAATAGAGAAAGATAGTAATGATTTGCGGCAGCTCCCATCATCTAATGCAGCATTACAGGACTTGGGCTGCGTTTTGAGAATATCCGTGGTTCTATCATCAATAACTTCAAAGAGAAAATACCAATGGGGTCTCAAATATTTAACTTATCAAGACATTTTTTTTAAGTTTGGGATTGTATACTATGAGACATGTAGTTTTAGTACAAAAAAATCATAATCACTTTTAACTATTAAATGTGAAAATCTAATAGAAAAAAATATATCACAATATTGGAGAAATTTTGTTTCAAAACATGTGTTTAAACAGTGACATCTTTAATCACCCAAATTCAAATCTAATAGTCAAAAACAAATGGTCTCATTGTATACCTCATTTTTTATATTTTGTATACCTTTCATTTTATGTTTTGGATAGTTCACCCTAGGATAACTTATTTAGTGATATGTAGCATGAAATCTAAAAGTTATGCTTTCATTTACACTAGGGATAAGGCTCCGATTATGATAATGCTTTCGTTTAAAACGGGAACCCAATTCATCCCAAATGACTTAGTTTTCAAACCATAACCAAGCGATGCCCAAGCATTGTATTGTGTTTCTGTAACTCTTTTCCCAAGCATTAACTTGGGAGCAAAGTTCAAGATTTCGGCAACACTGCGGTTCATTATCGCCTGGCCATACTCGTCACTTTTAAATATGCAGGCACACATGTTCACGGAATATCAGTGTTGGAAAGGTCAATTGGGGCCGAGTACTCAATCCAGGCCCGAGCCAAGTACTCAGCCCGAGTCCAAGTGGGTATGGCTCAAAAAAATAAAAAAAATAAAAAAATAAAAAAAAGTTAATCAAATTATAAAAATTTAAAAAAAAATCCAAAAAAATTAAGAAATATATGTTTACAGTAAAATTAAGCAAAATACATCAAAATGAGATAAATAAATAAAAAGTAGTAAAAAATAGACTTTAAAAAATCAACTTGTGATGGATTATTTTGAAATAGTTCAAAAAAAATGGAAAAATGTAAAAATAACTATTTATGGACAAAACAATTGACCATCTTAGCCAAAATGATAGAAAATATAAATATAATAAAACATATCACAAATAAATTTATTATTTTTTTGAGATTTTTAATTTTTTTTAATATCCCCAAGTGGGACACCCAACTCGGAGAATTGAGCCAAAGCACTCAGGACTCGGACCAAATTGTATAATACACAGACCGGATAAAATGCATGTAAACTTGTTAGGCCATCAGCATCACTTTCTTAACGTTGTCATTACAATTGTCTCAAACCGTTTCCAGGAAGCCATGATCCTAGGGAATTTGACCATAGCATTCTCGTCATTGTCGAGAGACTGATTTTCCCTGAGGGATTTTTGCACAGGCTCAATTCAGCCTTTAAAAGCCAAAATGGGTTGTTTGCCTCCAGTGATAGCGACATCACTGAAGGAGCTCTCTAATTAACTTAATCAAATAACCCGTCCAAAAACAGAATTTATTGTCACTGCAAGCCAACTTACGGCTTCTCTGGACTTTAACATAATTCCTATATAAAACCAAGTATTCAAAGTATTTCTCCCCGACTCGTCAGTACTCATCACGGATTAGCATTAACTTCTGCCAAGCAGCTTCTCCAGCTTCCCATTTGCAACAGCCTTAAGTGTATCTGGAGATTTCAAATATCATGGATTAGAGAAAGTAATGAGAAATCCTATTTGACGAGCATATTTCATGTTCAAGAAGAAATGCAAAAGGTCCCAAAGAAATTGAGCGGTTACCATCAGAGCCTCCAATATGGTTGCCATTGATGAAAACTTGGGGAACTGTGTGTCGACCCACTATTTCAAGAAGAACATTCTGAATCTGTTGACCATCATCTAAGCCCAAAATCCATAGGAAGTTGCAACAGCATCAGAATTACTAGCATGGTAGCATCTTACTTTGTATTTTATGACAAAATTTATCAGACTCCATACAAGTGGCTCTATAGTGCATGCTGGCATACATTAAACTCACACTACATTAATTTGCACGAGCTACAATGAAAATTAGTCCTCTCTCTCTCTCTCTCACACACACACACACAAATAAACCCCAAGTTAATACCTCGAAGGTCAAGCTCCACAACAAAAGGCTTCTCATTCAGCTCACTGAATACACGCTTTGCACGTGCACAATAACTGAAATTATACAAAGAAATCAAAACCAGCCTCATATGCTACATGCTCAGCACTTAAAGAAGAGATCACCACATTACAGAGAAGAGAAACGAGATTAAATGGTTGCAGCAGACTAGAATGCTCCACAACAAAGATAGGGGTACAAGGAATATTTTGAAAAAGGGTTGAGTGCAATTCCCAGGAGAGAAAGCAACTGTTGTGAGTTTAAAATAACGCCAATGAGGATCCAATTGATTCGGTAGATTAAACGATGGTTTCCAAATTGAACAAATTCATGGGATTCCAGGATTAAGAAAACAACCTCAATGCTCGTGTTATCAGGAGAATCACAATAATATGAGATAAAACAACATAATTGCAATTCTATTTCAAATCTTTAGCAAATATGCAACTGATAGTGCAAACGTACCAAAGACATGAATGGTTGTCTTGTACTTTCTTTAGGTATCCAAGAGAAGAATTCCTACGTATCAATAATGTTCTGATAGAGTTTTTGAAATCCTATTTTGTATTACCCCTTAACTTTTATTCAGATAAAAAATGAACCTGCTTCCATGATTAAGAGAAGTCAACACAAAATATCTAATATCAAATACGACATAATTTTTTTAAATTTTTTTTTATCATCAAACAAAACATAAAAAGAGGTTTAAGAGATACCAGGACAACATCTCAGGATTCCAACACTGAAACTGCGACAATAAAGTGTGATTCAAAGAGCCGTTTGGTTGAATCCCCTACGAATTAGTACAAAGGTCACATCCTTGGTGTCATGAATTTTAAACATCTCCCCAAAAATCATTGCCACCCTTCACAAAATAGAGGACTCTTAACAGGTCCATAAAATGCCATTCAAACAGTGTTTAAAAAATCGTCAATCCAATCCGGAATCAGTGATCCGGATCGGATATCAGCTAGACCATTCCGGATCTGTATAGAAAACAGGATCCGACCGATTCTTGGTCACTGCTGACATCATGGATCAACGGGTCTACTAGTCCGTACCATTTTTGCCGTCATTTTTCTATTAAAAAAATCCCACTTACCTTGATGTCATCCACATGCACACTTACCTTGATGTCATCCACATGCAACACAATCACGTGAGGTAACCTTGACGTGATCCACATGCAACACAATCACGTGAGGTAAACGAGGCATGCACCTTGACGTCATCCACATGTAACACAATCACGTGAGGTAAACGAGGCATGCACATGGCGTCGTGAGGTAACAGATGAGGCAAGCACGTGGGTCCGCACCACATTAATTAGCATGAGTAGACGCCGAGGCAACTTCTTTTATAGCCTATTTTCTTACCACATCTCTTCGATGTGGGACAAATACCACGGTCCGTCATAACATCTATGACGCCATTTTCTATTGGTGTTTAGTAAATGTTTGATGAGACTATAGAGAGAGCACGGATTAAAAAAAAATGTTTGATGAGAATCTTTTAATAAATGGGCTGTACATGCGAGATTATAGAGATTTTAGAAATGTGGGAAGAAAATGGGCTGTAAATATTGGTATTTACAACTTGTAATACAATGGTTGCATTGACTAATATTATTAGGATATTAGGCATTATTTCATCATATGATTAATATTAAGATATTAGTTAATAGGGATTAAAAAAAATAGTACTAGCTCATAGGATATTAAAAAAGCAAAAAATATTACTAATACTAGTTTATTGAACAGTAAAAAAAAATACTAGTTGCCTACATTTTGAAAAAAAATTCCAGAGCTACCGATTTGCTACAGTCAACAATTATTACAGTGAACAGTACATTATAAATTAAATGCTCAATAAATAGATCTTCCTCTCATATACAAGGACATCTATAAAATGAAATGGTCTATAATTCTTTTTAAGATTAATTTTATTTATTTATTTTTATAATATACAAACATAAAGTACATATAATTACTCTTTAATTACATATAATTACAAAAATTAACATAATTATATGAAATTGATGTACTAGCTCATAAGATATTAAAAAAAACAAAAAATAATACCAATACTGGTTTATTGAACATTAAAAAAAATACTAGTTTATGGGATATTTTAAGAGAGACAAATAGCACTAGCTCATATCACTTTAGAATTTATTTCAAGTTGCATTATCAATTATCCCACATTACAAATATGAATTTTTTTATTTATTTTCCTAATTTTATTAAAATATGATTGCAAATTTATGTTACTAAATTCTATATTTCTATCAACAGTAATTATTATACATTAGATTTATTTATTTGTGAGAGTCATACCTTTGTTTTTTGAATCACGTTTATTATAATATTGTAGTTAATAATTATACTAATTACAATGATTATCAAATATTATATTTTATTTATTAATTTATTTACATTATAAATTATGCAATGTATTATTTTTTTGTTATTGTTGTAAATTAGATTTTTAAAATTAGATG